GGAAATACATACAGATATTCTTTTTTTTTTTGGGTCAAAACATACAGATATTCTATTTTTTATAACTACTAGATGATCACTTGCGTGTACACGCGAGTTTCTTTTTCTAGTATATAATTTTAAAATTTTACAAGTAAATGTTTTTTTTATCATTTCCTATACGTACAAAATTTTGATTAAACGATTGTGTCATTTTAAATATTAAACTAGGTGTTTAGCCTGCGTCTTGCGCGGACGGAAGGGTTTCATAAACATAAAACAAAATTTTATGTTAGAAATAAAGATTATTAAAATAACCACTTGAGACATACCTATTTGAAATAAGTAAACATCATCCAAAATTAAACACTCAAAAAACCATAAAATAAGTGTATGAAACCAATGAAAAAAGTATAGTGAAACTCGTAAACCAAATCAACTAAGACAAACTCGATTATTTTTTTTATCATTTTTTGTATTCTTCTTTATTGTTTAATTGTATTGTCTATTTTTTTTTATTTGGTATTCATCGTACTTTTAAAGCCATGTTATAACTTCCAAAATTTAGAAATTAATTTTCCCAAACTCTTCTCCACTTTGGTAATATGTGCCTCCAGTTTCAATTTATGCCCATTGTTGCAAATTTTCTCTGTTTCAATCTTTCACCAATATCTTCTTCCTTTAACAACCATCACACTAGAGCTCTGTTCTTCTCCATCTTCATGGACTAAAATACTATGCTTCTTTGGCTCCACCAGTCATTATTTTCTTCTCTGTTAAGTACATTTACATGAACCTTATTATGACAGGTTTTTCTTGCCTCTTGTAGTGAGACAATAATGTCAAATACTCATTAGAATCAAGAGGAGGACCTGAAGAGTTGTTTTTGGAAGATGGGATCAGAACCACAATTTTCCTGCTTTACTATTGTTTCATCTTAAAAAGCAAGCTTTTAACAAATCTCGAGTGTTGTTTAATATACTCTTCAATCATACTTCTTCTTCCAAGGGCAAAAACTCTTTTTTTATTCCTATTAGATGAATACCCGCGTATATACGCGGGTTTTCTTTTGTCATATTTTCCGAAATCATATTTTTCTAAGTCGTAGTTTGATGTTATATTAAAGTAAACAAATTTATTTCATCCCCTACTTCTGGTACTTGAATTTAAGCTTTGTAGTTTGTTTCTAATAGCTCAATTTTACATCACTGCTTGACATTCCGTTTTAACCATTTTTTTGACGTTAATAGAAATCCGAAGAAAGACTATCTGATTTTTTCAATAGAATTTTTTTGTATATGTTACTCCTTTGGGATGATTTTTTAAAAAAGTACACATAACGCCTTCATGATACTTCACATCCATTGAACATATCTAGCGCCAATTGTATTTTGAATTGAAATATTTTATATCAAACTAAAAGATGCATACATATACTTTGCATGAAATGAGAAATATGGTGAAAACAAATACATGAATCCTAAACATATTGATAATCTATAAAGAAGCAAAGATACATTTTCTCTCAACGACTCATTCTTTATATTCCACATACAATTAGATACTATATTATTTATTTTTTAAAATGAAGTCTATATACATAACATATATCTATATGTATGTTTCATAACATAAAAGAGACAGAGGATCTTCTCGTTATAAGAGTGCAATCTTCTCACTAAGATCGTCTCCTCTGCAGGAATCTTGTCACCAATTCATTTCTTTGACATCAAGATTTGATCAGATCAAATTCTTCCTTGGCAAACATCAAGCGCATCTTACTTTTCCTTTACCAAGCCATTTTATAGAATTTGAAAACAAATAAGCTCATAACAAACCAAGATTTGTTACTAAAGACAATCCCCCAAACCTTGAGAAGAAATCTCGCATCCTCACAAGCTCTCACACGCAATCCGGCAGCCGAAAATCTCATCTCCACTTTGTTTGTTTTCTTTCGAGCTAACTCATGATATTTTTCTCAATTCAATCTCAACTGCATTAGTTGTGTTCTTTCATCTCCTTCACATGAGCGTTCTATCTTCTTTTTAATTAAGCAGCTTAGAAAACATAAACAATTTTGTAAAAGGTGGTGATTCTTGGAGAAATATACTTTCGACAAAAATACATGCCATAATAGAACATGATTTCATTATATCGTTATTTAGACATCCTGTTTATGTGGGTGATCTAATAACTTACATTTTGTCTCGTAATGTGCCCGTTGAAGTCAAAGATTATATGGGAAGTCACCCAAACTAACAAAATTATAATAGAATGAGTATGAACTTTACCTTGAACTAATATAACCTTCAATCATGGGAGAATATGAGAATGAGAGTCATATACTCGTTACTCTAACTACGTCTGAATAACAAATTGGAGAGATGTGAAGAGTATGAATCATTTTAGTTTTATATACTGTTTTATCTTTCTTCGTTGCAGCATCCATTCTTTTCTTCCTCCTCTATTCTTCTTCTTCTTATTCGTCTTCATTTTACCCTTTTCTCCTCAGCCTCTCTCCCGCTTCATTACCCACCACCAAAGCATGTTCTCCTCCTCGAATCCTCCAACATGGCCTAAGACATCGCCGGGATCGCCGGGCCAAGCTATGTTTCCTAAAAAATGAGGGTTGATGCGTTTATTTTTTTAGTTTTGAAAGAAGAAATGTGTCATTTAAGGCATTTCAAAGATTCTTTTAGCCAATTCACGAATTGTAGTTTTACTATACTAAAAGCTACAAATATCTAATAAATATAGATGATAGTTAATAGTGCTAATAAAAAGAAGTTTGACGCATATTCAAATTTCGAGTTATTGGGAGCATAAGTATTTTGATTAATGTTATTTCTAAGTGTTTCTGACCGTCATTTTTTTTCTCTTTCGAATCTGATTTTTTTCTCTTTCAATATTGTTTTGTTTTTTTTTTTAATTATTTTAAAGAGCTGATGTAGCAAATGGTGTATCTTAAAGATAGAAATGGTGTATCTTAAAGATAGAAACTTATGTGTCAAATTTGTGAAACTCAACTAAGTCTTTATATAATAGATACACTTAGATCAATATCTAAAGCATCCTTATAGCGTCAAATAAGATGAAATGCTAAAATGAACAATCGAATATCCTCATCGTCGTAATCCACAAATAAATTTGAACGCATTTTTCATGGATTGGATCAGGAATATCAAATTTCTTAACGACCATCACGGAAGCAGAGACCAAAACCCTAAATTGGTCGAGCTTGTGAGAATTGCAAAACCATGAATTCATAAAATTGTTATGTTTTCTTTTTTTTGTCTCTGATAAATATTTTAGTTTTTTTGTTGGTAACAAGGGTAAATATTTTAGTTTAACCAATTAGAAAACAATAAACAAATAAAGGAAATAAAAATACGCAACCACATGGGATGAGAAATGTTTTGTTCATTAATGACTAGATTAAAAAAGTTTCACATTTTTTTACGAAGCAAATATCATGCATTTAATGCAACTTTTAACAAAAAAGGAAATAATATTATCAATACGGTAACACTTCTAATTCAAATATTTCCAATATTCAAGTATAGAAATAACAAGACATGAAAAATGGAAACTATTTCCTTGATAAATACTCACATGCAACAACAACAACACCACAATCAAGAAACATAGCACTGATTCCCCACAATTTCCTCCTTCATATATATCTCTGATCCTTTCGTATAATCTCTTCAGTGTTTTCTCAACCCAAACTCTCTTTCTCTTTTGCTATGTTTCTAAAATCCTCTGTAATTTCGATGGACAATGCAAAGTCGGAGAGCTCAAGCGACTCTTTCTTACCTCTCAAGAAACGCATGAGACCTTTTGAGGAAGAACCTGACAATGCCCTAATTGCGACAGCGACAAAGAAGGTTGCGTATTCAGGCAATGCAAGATACAAAGGTGTGGTTCAGCAACAGAACGGTCATTGGGGGGCTCAGATTTACGCAGACCACAAAAGGATTTGGCTTGGCACTTTCAAATCCGCTGCTGAAGCAGCCACAGCTTACGATAGCGCCTCCATCAAGCTACGAGGCTTGGACGCTAACGCGCACCGGAACTTCCCTTGGTCTGATTTAACGGTCCACGAACCGGAGTTTCAAGAAGAACACACAACAGAAGCTGTGTTGAACATGATCAGAGATGGCTCTTACCAACAAAAGTTCAGAGAATCTCTCAGCAAACGTTCTCAGATGGTCGCGATGATCAACACCGTGGGATCAGAACAGAGCAGAAGAGACCAAGAATCTGACAACAAGTGCTTCTCTTGCAAGCAGCTTTTTCAGAAGAAATTAACACCAAGCGATGTAGGGAAACTAAACAGGCTTGTGATACCTAAGAAGTGTGCAGTGAAGTATTTACCTTTCCTAAGCGTTGTTCAAAACGAGAGAGAAGAGGGAGAAATAGCAGAAGACGTGGAGGTTGTGTTTTATGACAGAGGAATGAGACCATGGAAGTTTAGGTATTGTTACTGGAGAAGTAGCCAGAGCTTTGTCTTCACCAGAGGATGGAACGGTTTCGTCAAGGAGAAGAATCTCAAGGAAAACGATGTTATCGTCTTCTACGAGTACGATGTTTCTAGCAATGTCAAGACATTAGATGGTCAAAGCAAGAAATTCTGGATGATCGATATTCATATATTTTCAGGCGACGAGGAAGTAAACGAGACTGTTCATAACAGTTCTGTGAAAGAACTAAAAACAGAAAACTTCTTTAGCTCGAAATTAGAAGGTGAAGAAACCAAAGCAGAGGAGAAGAAAGGAGGGTTTAAGCTATTTGGTGTTATGATCCATTAACAGCTAATTGTTTTTGAAAACTTAATCAGAGTTTGTTTTTGTTTAGATATCATAATGTATGAGTTGCGACACTTTTTAAGCTTACTAACTAAAATAATACATACTGATTCAGTTGGAAATAACACTCGTAAAATCTAATCATCTTATCAATTGTTTCTTAATAAGAACAAACGAGTATGAGAAGAACATTTAGGTCATTCTCTGTACAGCTTCTTTCGCAAGAAGCATCTCTTTGGCTTTTTGGTAGTTAGGTCATTAACCATATGTGAAATTTCAACCTCTTTTTTTTTTTGAACTTTCAACCTCTGTTTCTGTCTTTGATCGACGGATTGCTTTTGGCCGTTTCATGTAACGAAAAATATATTTTTCTTAGGAGGTAAAGCTCCACAGATACCAAACAATGGATTATAACTTTCTCCTGTAAGTTGTAACATCAAAAATCTTTTTTAGAATCAAAAAATGAAACTTTGAGAAGAGTAAGATGGAAAAGTTAAGAGCTTACATGCTTCTTCTTCTTCTTGGTACTACCAATTTTAACTCAGCCCTAAGAAACAAGCAAAATTCACGATTTGATGTCTCTCATTGATTTTAACTCGGGACTTAAATGAAAAACACTAAAAAGCACTATCTTTAATAATTTCAACTAATAATTCACATCAAACTACAATTTTGCTATTTAACCCCAAAAAAAAAAAAATACATTTTTGCCTTTTTCCTAGAGATCATTTGAAAGATATTTAGACCATGAACTAGAGACTCATTAAGGTCTTTCATACAATATTTTAATAATATAGTTGGGCTTGAGAGTTGAAACCCATAGAAGAGATCTATGTATTTTGGTTGAATATTGTAGACCTTTTTACGGAGAAGACTAGGAAAATGGAATGAGGAAGGAAGGAAAAAAAAATTTCCCCCAATTTTCAATAACGAATCACATATGTCCACGTGTCTTTCAATACCGTCTCTTGCAGTTTTAATTTAGGCGACGTCTCCAGCATTTTGAGAGATCCATTTCTATTAAAAATTGTTTTTTCATCACGAGAGACGCGGTTGAAACCCACAATGTTCATGCTCTTACCGAAAATGCGTCACAAAACTTTACTAAATGCTTTTTTTTTGTTACATATGTGTTTTTCTTATTTTTCTTCTGTCAATATATATTTCTTACTAAATGCATTTTTTTGGGGCGAAGACTAATAAAAAGTAAAACCTTTATATTCAATTTTTTTTTTTTTGGTTTTCTTGGTTTGGTTGGTATTCTTCGGTAACGTGACAAAAGTAGTATTTGGTTCATTGGTTGGTTGTCTTCGTCGGGCTTTAATGGCGACACCAAGATCAGAAGCAAAATTAGATTTTTTACGAATTTTTTTATCCAAATACAAAGAACCAGATCTCTTGCCCAACGGTGGTGAGTTTTTTACCTAACTTTATTTCCCTCTTCTTTCAGGGAAATAAATCTGTATATATGTAAATGCGCACACGTGTTATGCTTTCTTCTTGTTTCGGTGGATCCAAATCAATTTCTTTATTCTCTTCCTTTTAATCTTGGAGTTTCCCCCTATTCCTTTCGACTTTTGAGTTGTGGTTATCTTCCAATCTCAGGATTTCGTTTCTCTATTTCTTTATAACCCAAAACAAAATTGGATCAAAAGTTGTTCGCTTTCGTCGCGTTTGGTGATTATATTCATCTGGGTAATGCTCAAAAACGAAACTTTCATTTCTTAATTCTTGCGAAATTTGTAGACTTTGTAGTGCCGGTTCTTTTGATTAGATGCTTGTGATTTATGGATCTGATTATCGAATCTGAGGTTTTAGATAAAGTAAGGGCAGATACTACGATTTGGTGCTACATTAGATCTGATCAAGACTCTTCTTTCTCGTTTTTAACTACTTTACATCAAGTTTTATCATCCAATTATGTCTCTTCCTTGTGTAAAGATCTTGTTTTTTTTACTACAAGTATAAGTTCATTGATTTCTCCTTCTTGATATGGTTATTAGTTGACAGAATTGTTCTGGAAGTTTAGAATTAGATTATGACTAACTGAGTTCTTGATGCAAACAGGCTTTAATCTAGTTTGAGATAACAACATGGAAGGAATCATTGTGAGGAGAGTTATACCATCTGACAACAGTTGTCTCTTCAACGCAATCGGGTAACAAGCTTTCGAGTCAATAAGAAGTTTATAATTGATGTTTGGAGGCCGTGTGTTTATTTTTGAGGTTTTCTCTTTTACAGTTATGTCATGGACAAGGACAAAAAGAAGGCTCCTGAGCTAAGACAGGTTTTTTCATCTATCTTGCTTCTTTGATCTATTAAATGTTAGCGGCGTTCAATGTTTAGCTTCTCTTAGTTTGTAGTTATCAACTTCCTATTGTATCTGAAGCTTAAAGGTTAATCAGATACCGTTCTTAAGTTGATCTCGATATGGTTAATATCTAGTTGGAAAAAATCGAAAAGTAGTAATAATTAGAGTAGATTAATTGCTGGAATGTTCCCACATGAATTGAGTATTTCAAATAACCACTTTGTTTATTTCCCGACAATAAGACATTAGCTCGGTGCTATTATGCTTAGGTTATAGCTGCAGCAGTTGCAAGCGACAAGGAGAACTATAGTTACGCATTTCTAGGGAAGCAAAATGAAGAATACTGTGCTTGGATTCTCAATCCCGAGAAGTGGGGAGGTATAATTGCCTAGATTGTTCATTATCTCCATTATTGCTTAAGTATGGTTTTTTCAACTGAGTTTAGCTATATGTCAGGCAAGATATGTCAGTACTCTTGTTCATGATTTTCATGGTTAATATAGTGCCTGATGCTTGCAAGGTTCGTCATTTTGTGTTGATAAGTGTCTTTCCATTCTCTTTTTGCTTTGTATAGGTGCAATTGAGCTCTCGATATTAGCAGATTACTATGGTCGAGAAATTGCAGCTTATGATATTCAAACTAGTCGATGTGACTTGTATGGACAGGTATCATCAAACTCAAACATCCGAGTTCTGAAAAGAAAAGAACAAACTTTAAACGTACTCAACAGTAGTTTCCCTTTTGCAGACGAAAAACTACAGTGAAAGAGTTATGCTGATCTATGACGGTCTTCACTACGATGCTCTTGCTGTAAGTTCATACATTCACCATTTGAGAAAAGTATATAACTTGATTACCAATCTTGTTTCTTAATTATTACTTCCTTGTTGCAAATCTTTTCAGCTGTCTCCATTTGAAGAAGCCGAGGAGGATTTCGATATGACTATATTTTCTGTTGGGAAAGATAGATCCATTGGTGCTATCGAAGGGCTTGTTCTGAATCTAGTAAAGGACCAACAAAGGTAATATAATTGTGAACCATTGTTTTGTTAAATGTGGCTTAAGGAAAAAGATTAAGCCCTGGTGATTTGATTATATCTGTTTCAGTAAAAGGAGTTACACAGATACCGCAAACTTCACTCTGCGTTGTGGTGTATGCCAAATTGGAGTTATTGGACAAAAGGTCAATTTGCTTACTTTGTCTCATTCAATTCTTCGTTATCTGTGTATGCTTCATAGATCATAGAGCTTGACTTGTGAAAACCAATAATTGAAACAGGAAGCTGTGGAGCATGCTCAAGCAACTGGTCATGTCAATTTTCAAGAATACAAATAAGAGAAATGATTTATTTGATTCTTTCATACAAATCCAAGAAAGGGGAAAGTAAACTACATTTGTTATTTGCTTAGTTTTAAGTCAACTATTCAAATTGAGTCTGTTGTGCAATTATCTCCTGTTGTTTTGTTCCTTTACTTGTATCCTTTTTAGGGGGAGCATCGTTCATTGTCCATTGTTGTCTCCCCAATAATGTCATGAAGAAATTGAACTCATTGTCTTCATTTTCTTTGGGTTGTAAACAAAATTTTTTTCCAGTAAAACCTCTATATTAGGATTATGATGTTTTATTAATTTATCGTGATATTAATTTATCTATAAATTAATAATTATTAATGTATAAAGAAAATTTGCTTTTCGCATATAATTTTTAAAAACTTTTTTTGGAATAATATTATATTTTAAAATTTTAACAAATCTCATAATATAAATTATAATTAAAAATCATAAATATCACAATAAAATAGTTTTTAACACCATATTATATTTTCTTTATAAAAATATACATGTTTATAAATTTAAAATCTATAAAAAAACCATAGCTATTACTAATAAAATTGAAGATAACATTACAATGCATTTAAAAACATTTACAAGTAACAAAATCAATTATCACATAAAAATTATCATAAATTTTGATTGTATATAGTAAAACAGCAATAAAAGCTACTGATATAATAATTAGAGAGATGGGAACCAATGAGATTTCAATTTTAAGTAAAAACAAACATATTAGTCATATTTTAAAATATTATATTTACATACATTTGCATAAATTTATATAATTATTAATTTATATTTTTGTTGGACCATATATTTACATAAGAGTTTTTAAAAAAAATATTATTTTATTATCTTATCAAATTTGGTGGATTTTTACATTGGCTCGACTTGGAACCAGCAACATTTATTAATTTATAGTAATTATTAATTTATCGAGTATTAATTTATAGAAGTTCTACTGTATACGTGCAGATGAGCTTGTATACGTGCAGATGAGCTTTTAGCCGTTTATTGCAGGGACGTAAGTGTCTTCATGTTTCCACATAATTTTTTTTTTCACCAACACGCAAGTTTCTTTTAATTATAAAAATGTAACAAATTTAGTGACTTAAATTATAAAAAAAAAGGTTAAGAGGATCTTATAAAATTGACCAAAACTTTAGAAAAGAACACTAAAAAAAATCATGTTTTATTATGCTAGTTTTTTGTATATGTAATCAACTTCTCTTCTATAGATTCATAAATTATTTGCTGATGATAAAATGGTCTCGTTATCGTCTAACTGAAATCAACAAGACGAAGAAGAAGAACATAAAAGCCAAAAATAGCAAAATGTGCCAATTTGGTAGATTTGTAGGAAACTAACTATATATTATTATATAAATGTTGACGAATAAGTTTCTAAGGAACATTAGCCTCTCTGACTCTGCTAAAGGTTTTTCTTCCAGAATGATGAGATAACAATATTAGAGTACACATTTGCTTAATCGCTAATGACCAAAATGACATTACATAATCTAAACTCCGGTCTAAACCGCTTCCCTGGCTTTCACCGGAACATTTATTACTTCATACAGAGAATCACAGCCCGGTAAGAGATCAGAGAACCGAACGCAATGCCCCGGGAATTAAAATCTGGTTCAGTTCTGGTTTACCTCCTAAATCTTCTGCTTAAGGACATGCTTTAACTGAACTTTTTGGCTTTCGATTCGTGCTTCAATGAGTTTCGCCTTCAAACTATGCTTCTGTGCACCTCTAGGCCATTCTATGCAACCTTTCATTCCTCCTCGGTTCACATGAGAGTGATTTGCCGAATCCGGTGAAGAGCTCCATTGTCCAACCAAATCCATCATCGGACTGAATCCTCCTTTGCTTGAACCTCTATCTGGTGAAACCATTCCCACGCTTGATTTCCTTCCATTTGAAACTCTTCCTTCCATTGATATCACCTTGTAGTTGCTATCTCTATCTCCATTGCTTGCGCCTGATGATCTCCAGAGCTTTGCTATTGATGAAACCTTTTTGGATGACCGTCTTGGAACCGAACACACTTCGCTTATCTCTGTATTTGGAGTCATTGTCTCTTCCCAACCTTTGCCTAAAAACTCTGTACCACCACTCGAGGCATTGCTGTCTCGTTGATGGTGGTTGTTGTTGTTCACAGATGGTATGCTTCCATCTGGTGAGTAACTAGATCCTTGTTCTTCGAGGTGGCTCACTGTTTCCCAGCCGCTATCGTCTTCTTCGATATCTCCATTCTGGTGAGTGAAAGCATCTGAATGTCTCCCTTTCTTGTTGACCATATTGGCGTCTGGACTTGCAGTGTGAACTTTAGAACCGTGGCTGATTGGACTGTAAGCAACAGATTTCTCGATTTCTCTGTCATGGGCTTCACCGAGATTCATCTCTTCGAACACCGAGAAGATATCATCCGGGTTTGCAGGCTCATATGTAAATTCCTTGATTTCTTGGATATTCACCGATGCAGCGGTCTCTCTTAATAACTCCGCCTCTCTCACCTCTTTGACATCTGTAACGATATCTTTTGACCTAAGGAAAGATTCCAAATCTGTTACAAGCTTGTTCATTTGTGAGTACCTTTCCTCAAGTGCTACTTTGGCATCAATAAGTTTCATCTGGACACGTTCCTCACGCCAGACCTCAGCCATCTGCAGCATTCTTCTTTCATCGTCTACTTCTTCTCTGAGGCTCATGGATTCTCTCTTCAATGCTTCAATCTCAGCTTTATCTTCTCCTATTTCTTTGGCCAGTTCATCGCAAACTTCCTCAATCAATTCTCTTGCCTTCCTTTCCTTTTCGAAGTCCTGCATGTAACGCTTCACGGCTAACTTCGAATCTGCAAGCTCGTTGACTAATTTATGATTCACGATTTCTAATCTCTGGCGGGTTTTCTTCTCCCTGCTCATATCAGCTTTCATGTCATCAATGATTGCTCGGACCTTCTCGTGCTCTCTGCTCCGCCAAGCAGCCCTCTCCTCACTAACTTTCCTCAAGAACTGTTCAAGCTTCTTTTTGTGAGATCGCTTCTCACTCTCGAGATCCTCAATGCGAGCATGTGCTTCCTCCAGCTCTACTTCAAGCGAAGAAACCAATGACACAGCATTCACTTGTTGATCAATACGCTTCATGTTGCTATAAATTTGGTGTACTTCATCCATTGCATCCACGCAGACAGGATCCCATTTTGTTGCCCCCTCCATCGCCGAGTGAGGAAATGGCATTGAAGGCTCGAGCTGACAAGAAAACAATAGAAGAACTGAGGTGACTAAATCATAAAGAAGTTGCACGAAATAATCACAGCAAAAAAAAAAAGAGGACCTTAACAGACAAGAATAGCCCACCAGACGAAATGTAAAGAGTTGCATGCGGCAGAATATCCAATATAACAGTTATATTAAGACTTTGCAGGTTTTAACTTTTATCATACCCATTGCCCCAAAAAGGTAAGACTGATAAAGGCCTCATAAACTAGCTAAGAAGCAACTCGAACTCTCAAATTCATAATCTCAATCTCATTTAAGTTTTTCCTTTTTGAAGCCTGGAAATGTAAGTGAAATTTTCCGAACTCTTCAATAAATACTAACGTTATAACAATTTTAACCTAAAGTGAAAAGAAATTATAAGACCAATAAATTCACAATCAACTACACCACTTCATTAGAAATTCTGAGGGGAGGTGATATAACAAAAAGTATAATGACACATGGTGTTCTGATTCTAGACCATATAAACTAGCAATCAAATACAGTATATGTATAAGGTGGTGTTTTATCTTAGCTCCAAAAATCAACAACAGCTGCTGTGATCTAGTCTATTTAGTCTTTGTAATAGTAAAAAGACAACCATTCCGAAGTATTTATGTCTGATGTTGCATACATCTAATATCATATACACCTAGAAGGTTGAGAAGATCAAACACACCTTACACAAAAATCCATTTTTCGTCGTAGCAATGGTGCTAGGGTTCTGCCTCATCTTGCTGCTTTGACCACCAGAAGGTTTTTCACTATGGTGATACAGAAATGGAACACCCATGTATCCAGGACCTCCCTGCAGGGGAACAACAAGATATAATTCAAAGAAGAAAGCTATTGAACATAAATTTCTTTCTCTATATGAGCACCTATCAGATCTTCACTAAATGTAGCTGTTTTGAGAAACAAACACTTAGGGTCTCTAGCTACATATCTGTTGATCATTAGGAATCTGAACAAAGTATTAACAATCAGCCCTAGTTTGGAGTACATCAATAATTGCTACCTAGATCAAAGCTAATCATCAATCCACTTAATAAAATTTCTAGGAATGATGTAGGCTTAATGATGATTATCACGAAAGGATTAAATTGATAATGCAAATAAAGAGGATAAGGATTTCTTCGAGCAAGATAGTCGAAACTTGAACAGATAATCTCAAAACATCCCATTCAATCCATGAAAACTAATTCATTATCACAATGCAAATCTTATAAACGCAGATAATAGACTATTGGATCTCAATGAACCGGAAAATTCCAAAAATAAAATTGTACCTGAAACCCTAATCCCTCTTTCCCCTTTCTCTCTCCGCCGCTAGAAGCCGCGTCGGGAACTTGCAACCGCCAAAGCCCGGCGGCGAGTTTCCTAACAGAAACCGGCCGAGAGATTTTCCTCCGATCCTTGCGGCGCGTAGTCTCCCTCCCAACCTGGTTATTACTTCCGTCATCCTCGTAATCATCGTCCTCTACAACGCCGCCTCTCTCTCTATTCCGATCCTCAACCTTCCATTTCAAAAGAGGAGTCTCCGGCCGGCTTCGTCTCCCGCCAGGAGCGCCGGATCTTCGCTGACGAGTCAAGCTCGGGTTCCTTGCTCTACGTTTAGTGACTGTAGTGGCTCTTTGAATAGCCCTGAGATCTGGACCGTTAGTGAACAGATTCGCCTCCGACTCAAACGCCGGTAATGTTGCCGTCGGATACGGCTTTCCGGTGACTTTCATCTGTTCATCCACTCAATCACCGCCATAGAAAAAGGTTTTCCCAACGTGAAGAACCGACCAAAATCTCGAAAAAGGAAAAACGGAAAAAGCTCGAGAATCACAGACGATAATGCGTGAGACAGAGAGAGAGAAAGAGAGAGCTTTGAGTTCGTGAAGCTATATCGCTTTGTTGGGTGAGTCTTGTGACTGAAACGAGAGAGAGAGAGGAGAGAGATGAGGAGTAGATGTATACGTATATTCTCAAAACCCATGCGTATTGGGTCAACGGTATAAGACTAAGACGACGTCGTATCCATGGAGAATGAAACACGCCTTATAGCGCGTGAGGAGCATTTCCCTAAATTACATGGGGAGCTCTCGCTTGGTGGTGCGTGTTGCAGAGAGACGTTGGGAATATATGATTAAAGAATAAAAAAAAACAAAAAAAAACATTTGTTTTTAAACAAATTAATACTAATTGATTTACGTGAATCTTTAATCTTTAATTGAAAAAACCGTATGTAAACAATAACAAAATAATGGATATTGAATTCTTGAAATGTTAACGTATCGTTTTATAATATATGAACATGCAATGCAATAAGATTAACAATTTATAGATCTCAGTTTCTTTTTCTCTAGCTAGCTAAGTATATATTAAAAAAAAAGGTTTTGACTAGGAAACAAACAAGAGACGACGAAGACATCAAAAGGGTATCCTAAGTGAAGATGTCGGCTCATCGGATTCATCCACATGATATTTTTGCTTAACAAATTGTTAATCTGTTTCACCTTTTCCATCTAAGAAAAATTCATGATGGTTTCTTTTCTTTTAATTATAATAACACATATTAATTTTTAATAACCTTACGCAGTAGATATCATCATCTTATATGTAAAACCCTTAGATGTATTTGTCAACAAAATATAAAGAATGTGTATCTTTTGATACTATTTCAGATTGTGTATACAATTAGTATTAATTACGAAAATATAACAGTTTACTATATACTAGCTAGCAGTAGTAGATCGCTTGCCATAATTATTGATTAGCAAGATATATGAACACCTATTAAGGGATCTGGAGCCAATTTTAGCATATCGGGACGTTGGGACATTCTCATCGTAATTAATTCTAAGTGTCATTGTTCGATTAACAAACTCACTCAAATAATATAATATACAGTAATTCAAATTTTGTCGACCATTATATGTTTTAAGAATCGTGATATAAGAGAAATTATGTACTTAAATTTCAATCAATGAAACTGAAATAGACCAACAAAGCTATGCACGTTGGATTGATTTGTCCACCAAACTTAGTTTTGGTTTATACTTTCTGTGAGAACAAAATTATGGATTACATTTATGCTATATTTTTCGTATTGATCAATATATATGATAAATTGATAATAAATTGTTATATGAACATGCAAACAAATTAATAAGTCAGCCTCTTTAAATGTGCCATCTTTGGGTACTTCCCATGCTATTCCTTGTTCTTGCTGTGTCTCATTAATCTTTCTGCTTTTTTTTTGGTTTAATTGTTTCATAATATCTTGTTTTGTTTTTCTTGTAACCCTAATCGCATGTTCTATCACTCGATTTGTTTCCACGTATCTTTTAGACTCTCCCATAAATTAATTATATTCGATCAGTTAGATAATAATGTTCATAAATAAATATGGCGACGGTGTTTTGTCTATGGAAATTTACACATATAGTTGAGTCAGATTTTAAAATTTTCATTCGATAGACTATGCATGTTTTCTAGGGAAGAATTTTTACTCTAAAATGGTTCGGAATAGCCGACGAAAGTAGGCTGAAAGATTCGTTTACTCAGGAACAAACCTATACGACCTACAGTAAAACTTCTATAAATTAATAATGTTAGGACTATAATATTTTATTAATTTATCGTGATATTAATTTATTTATAAATTAATAATTATTAATTTATAAAGAAAAATTGCTTTTTCATATAATTTTCTAAAAATTTATTTGAAATAATGTTATATTTTAAATTTTTAACAAATCTCATAATATATATTATGATTAAAAATCATAACTATCACAATAAAATAATTTTTTACCATATTGGATTGTCCATATAAAAATATACATGTTCATAAGTTGAAAATTTATAAAAAAATTGTTGTTATTATCAGTATCATTGATGATAAAATTGAAGATAACACTACAATGCATTTAAAAATATTTACATGTAAGAAAATCAATTATTACATCAAAAAATCATCATAAATTTTGAATGTATATAGTAAAACAACAATAAGAGCTACTGATATAATAATTAGAAAGATGAAAACCAATGAGATTTCAACTTTAACTAAAAACAAACACATTAGTCATATTTTAGAATATTAAATTTACATATAATTGCATAAATTATATAATTATTAATTTATGTTTTGTTAGGACCATGTATTTACATAAGGGTCTCAAAAAAATTATTATTTTATTATCTTATCGAATTTGATGGATTTTTACATTGGCCCGACTTGGGACCAGCAAAATTTATTAATTTATAGCGATTACTAATTTATCGAGTATTAATTTATAGAGGTTTTACTATAGTTAGAAAAGTGCTCCGTGTGGGCTTTGCATTCATTAATGAATGTCGATCAATTGAGCCTATTTTGCAAAACAAACAAAGTCAAAATAATTTTTGAGGATACCAAATTAAATATACATTTGATATTCTTGATGAAAAAAAACTTGGTTTCTAAGAGGAGAAAATAAGGTTTTTGTCTAGACTTAATTAGTTTCAAGAGGAACAAACAAATTTCTGGTTCTATCCATAGTCTTGTCTAAGTTCCGGCCAGGATTCTTCTTCTAGGAAGCCTACGAGTCTTGTCCTTAAGTCGACGTGATAGACTTCATATTCCACGTCGCAATTAGTTATTTAGCAATACAAAATCACTCCAACAATATTGTTTTAAAATATTTGTTTTGAATAAATAAGTCCTCTTTTCAAATATAACACCGATTTCAATTTGGATTTAGCAAGAATTACTTATCTTTCATCTAATCGATTGAGTTCATTACATATTAATATATTCTAGATATGTGAAATTTCGAATTTAGCCTTTTTGTTTGTCATTTTAATTAGAAAAACTTTTGAATACAGTTTGATAATAAGAGGAATGATAATAATTTAGGTTTAGAACGTACAGTAGACCTTGGCTTTATTTGTTGATCTCTGCATTGTTCAAATACAATAAACGTGCTTAGTTTTTTTAATATTCAATCTAGATCTGCAGTAATTTATATAATTTTGTACATATTTACAATTATTTTCCTACAATAAATCTATATATTTATGTCAAGTTAAAAAAAATTGTTAAGTTTGAAAATATTTTCTTGGAGATTTCATATTAGTCCGATTAGTAAATTTAAATTTTAATTTGGATTTGTTTAATAAAAATCAATGTTAATTATTCAGTATAATTTAATTACATAGGAAAAAATATTTTCTTATAGGTAAACATATTTTATTATTTATGTTAATAAGTACATGTTAATCACATTGAGGGAAAATGTATTTGCTTGGAGGTTTTTTTTGTAATTAGTTTTAATTGTATACGAAAATTTATGGTTTGTACCTTTTTGGTTTGTTTTGCATATGTAGTTACAATTTGCACCCAAAAAAAAAAGAAGAGAAGTAAACGTAAATAAACGTACTCTTAAGTTCAACACGAATGCACTAATGTTAAGTTCTGACCAAATAAATGTAAATGTAAATCAAACAAACAAACAAAAACACCAAAACAATAAAAAACTTCATATACATGTATAGATATTCAATTTGCTACAAGACATCGAGGGACTTTGTTCAATTTGTTCCTCAATTTACACCTCAAATATCAAAAGCATTTGTCAGGTTCAGTCACAAACAGTACCACAGACTTGTCACAATCTGATAACAAGCATAGTATATATTAAATGTGTCACCTAATTATGTATATCACATTTAATCCATTGTTTGGTCAATTTTGAACCTATATTTAGTTGATTTTTTGTTCCAGTCTCGAATTAGTTAACTCTCACGAGTCAATCCACAGAATGAACAGAAAAGACTTATTTTCTCAAGTTCTTTATTTTTGTCTCAAAAACAAGCATTTTACATTACGGGCCTTCTGGCCCATTTGAAGTTTGTCATCCACTAATTACACTTCTGGATATTTGGGTTTTGTTTTGCGTTTTCCATTCTAATTTCTTCTTGACCTGGAATTTCATTGCATACACACACTCTTTTATCAATGAATTACAAGGGACTTATAAATTGTTTAATAATATGTTTTTGTTAACTCTAAACGAAAAAGACCATAATTAAGTACCACTATACGAATATGTGTTCACATGCCATCATCTATTACAGAGCAAAGTATAACAGAAATAAAAGTAAAATTGTAACCCCCCAAGGAAAAAAATAGAACTTAGCAAAATTCATGTGGGCTTTGCAAACCCACTTTTTATTCTTCCAACTACTTTGCCATGTGATACACTTTTCTTTTCTTCACACAAATTAATATAAATGTTCTCCTCGCGGTCCAAACATAAATTAAATTAGAAATAACAAAACTAAAATATTTTTCTGAGTAGAAAAATGAACGTAACATACTAACATTCATAATAAATCATCATCATCCATGCAAGAAAAACATGAACACTTCCCAAATCTTTCTCTCTCACCAAACATATATATAAATGTCATCAATGATCTAACTAATTATAACCTCATCACAATATGATCACCACTAAGCTCTTATTATATGCCTTAATACTTTTCCTCTTAAACACTCTTCCTCAAGTTTTTGGGGGCTATGACCAACTTAACACAACTTCTTCATGGCTAAAAAACCACACCAAAGCACCTACAATGTCAAACTGGGGTAGGCAAAAGCCACCGATGTGTAAACCATGGATTTGCAAACGATCCGGACCACCAATGGCTCGAATGAGATGCTGTCGTAACCAATGCGTTGATGTCTTGTCCGATCCAAACCATTGTCGGTTCTGTTTCCGGAGTTGTCGGTTCGCTTTGTCTTGCTGCGATGGAGATTGTGTAGACACGAACATTGATCCTTCTAATTGTGGGCAATGCGGAAACAAGTGTGATTCTGGTGCGCCTTGTGAGTTTGGTTTGTGTGGTTATGCTGCTCCGTCGTCTCAGCCTGGAAAACATCATCGTCATCATAAGTTTCATCGGCCACGTCCTCCTCCTTCACCAGATAGTAACGGTGATAGTGAGCTTTATGATGACGACCGTGAGGATGAATAAATCGTAACGTGGTGAGATGTACTCAGATTGAGTGTCTGAGTTTAACTATTGATGTTCTTCGGTAATTAGTAAGTAACTTCATGTGTTTTGGAGTTCATTTTTTCAATGAATTTTATCTGTAATGTTATAATAATTTGGTTCCTTTGAATATTTGTGTGATTTGCGTTTTGAGGGTTCATCGTGTTTTGTATGGTATAATATGTATGGTCAGTCCAATTGTTACGGTCAATTTATATATAAATGAAATATCAATTAGTTTGGTTCATTTGGATTGATTTTTGTTCTCTTTCTCTTTTGTGGTTTATTGAAATAATAACTACTGTAAAATCGAAACATATTTTGTCTCGTTCGACACTAGATTTGCAACTTTTGAAAAATGTAAAAATAATATTGACTTTGTTCGTTATGTTCAGTTTTGGGGTTTTGGGTTTCTAGAGTTTTAAAGTCATTAAAGTTTAATTTGTCTTAAAAAGAAAGTTACACATATCATAGTAAGGCATATACAACATTTTTTTTTTGGCTAAATTGGCAAAAAAGAATTAAAAAACAAAGCAGAGCAAAGTGGTTACAAGTCTAACAAGTTATCCTGACGTGAAAATCTATCTGAGCCAAAGAAGCATAAGATTGCAGAAATGCTTTTTGTGTCTTCTTGCAGATATTAAGTTGCACAATTCCCTGTCAAAACCCTTGAAGATCACATGAGCAGGGATAGCAGTTTGGTTGTGGAGGACATTGTTTCTCTGCTTCCACAAGTGAAATATCGTTGTTTGCACGACGAGCTTCCTAAGGAGAGACGGAGACGAAGCGGAGCTATCTCTGATCCATGATAAAAGCTCAGGCCAATTTTTAAATAGCGGCTGCGGTGGATTTAGATGAGAGATCGCAAGATGCCAAACATCCACACTGAAGTCACAGGTCAAAAGAAGAGGGTCCCTAGTTTCGGTGGAGGAAGAACAGAGACAGCAGGTAGGTTGGATCTGCATTCCCCATGCTGCTAAACGAGCTCTGGTAGGTAGACGGTTTAAATTGGCAATCCACATGGTGAATGAGTGCTTGGGGATACAACCCTTGAACCAAATTAGATCCGACCAAGGTTTCTTCGCTGCTCAAGGTCTCATTACCGACCAAGTATCAAAAGCGGTATAGGAAGCACAGACGTTACCTTCTATACACCAATCAAAGGAGTCTTCGCCTGTGCAGAGGGAAGGGATAGTCACCATGGAAAGATGAGCATGAAGGTTTAAGGCCTCATCAGATCTGGGGGCAGCGAGAGTCCAACGAGTGGCATTTGCAGCAGAAGTGACGACAGCATGTAGAGGAACTTGCAAACTCCTCGGACCACCATCCCCAACATAGTTAATAAGTTGCCCAAATGGAGTCCAAATATCATACCAAAACCGAATAACCTTTCCATCACCCAGAACACCCTTGATGAACTTCAGGGCATCTGGCCGGAGCTTGAGAAGCTGATTCCAAGTCCATGAATGGTGTATTGATTCTTTCAAAGCCCAGAAACTTATATTTCTCAAATGGTGGATGTTCTGCCACTGAACCCACAGAGATGCGCCATTGGAGAAGAGAAGCTAGATGAACCGAAGGCAGAGAGCTCTGTTCCAAGTTGAGAGGCGGCGAAGACCGAGACCCCCTTTATCACGAGGTAGGCATACAGTGCTCCATGCCACCTTAGCGATTCATGGGCTGTCTATATTTCCTGACCATAAGAACTTGGAACATAGCGATTCTATTTTTTTAATACACCCCAATGGTAGCACAAATGTCGACATCCAAAAATTGACAGTACCAGCGATTAAAGAGGAGAGAAGCTGAACCCTTCCAGCAAATGAGAGGGTTTTGACAGCCCATGACCTGAATCTTGCAGTGATTTTACTAAGCAGAGGGTCATATTCTGAGACTTTCAACTTACGACTCATGAGAGGTAAACCAAGATATCTTATAGGGAGGGAGCCGATCGAGAATCCATAGTTTGCAACCGCTGCGGATTCTCGAGGATCCAACTCTGAAGTAAAAAGCTCAGTTTTCTGTCTGTTCATATGGAGACCCGACCAGCCAGCAAAGTCCTCAAGACATTCAAAAACACCATGAAGGGAAGAGGCACTGCCATAAAAAAAGATCATTAAATCATCTGCAAACATCAAATGCGAGGGCATGAGCTCAGATGTTTTGGGGTGATAAGCAATATAGCCAGAATCATAGCGCGAGAGAATTAGCTGAGTGAATACTTCCATGGCAATAACAAAGAGATAAGGGGATAGTGGATCCCCTTGTCTAATACCCCTGGTGCTAGAAAAGAAACCCCCTGAGGCGCCATTTACAGAGATTGAGAAGGTTGGCGAGGTGATACACTCAGAAATCCAGTTGACAAACCTATCGGGAATGTTTAAGGCTTTAAGTGCTCCCAAAATAAAGTCCCATCTGACGGAGTCGAAAGCTTTCCTTAGATCCACCTTTAACATAGCTCTCGGTTCCCGATGATTACCATGATACCCCTGAACCAGATCCGTAGCCAACAACACGTTCTCAGCGATCAACCTTCCTGGCATGAAAGCCGACTGAGCATTGGAGATGGCATCCGGTAAAATCTCCTTTAGCCTGGAAGCCAACAGCTTTGCAATTACTTTGTAGACCGTATTAAGACAAGAGATCGGTCTAAAGTCAGAGGTGGAAGCCGCATTTGAAAATTTTGGGGTAAGAACAAGAGTTGTTGCATTCCACTATTTAAGGAGGCGACCAGACCTGAAGAATTCAGATACTGCTTCTGAGACTTCAGCTCCAATAACATCCCAGCAACCAGTAAAGAACTCCGACGAGTACCCATCAGAGCCACTAGTCTTGTTTTTTGGTAAAGAGAAAAACGCTGCCTTAATTTCTGCATAAGAGAAAACTTTTGTCAATGTGTCCCGCTGATTCTGAGAGCATTTGAACTTTAAAAGCAGATTAATATCACTCTGCTCAAAGAGAGGGGGCTCAGAAGGACCACCAAGGAGCGAAGAGAAATAGTCGACACAAAGCTTTTGGATACCCTGCTGGGTTTCAATCTTGCTACCAATGCTATCCACCAAAAAATGAATGTGGTTATGAGCTCCACGGGTTTCAGTCATCCTGTGGAAATAAGCAATGTTAATGTCTCCAAGACCCAGCCACCTGATTCGCGATCTTTGACAGAAAATGGTTTCCTCCGCCTGAGCTAAAGTCTGCCATTTCTCTAAAGCCTTAATCTCAGCCCCAGCATTGATGATGGAAGGATCAGCAAGCATACGATCTTGGCTACTCAAGAGAACAGCATGAGCCTCCTTCACTCGCTTCTCAATACCCGAAAAATTGTCCTTACTAAACTCGCGGATGACCTTCTTAAGCAACTTAAGCTTTCGAGACACAATAAACATGGCCGAGCCCACAATGTTGAAAGAGAACCAATGCGAAGCAATCAGATGAATGAAGTTCTGGTTCTGGAGTAAGAAGTTAAAAAACTTGAACGGTCTTGTTAGCTTTTCCACCTGGGGATTTAGAACAACTGAGCAGGAGGCATGATCTGAGAAATCCGGACTTCCAAAAGTTTCCACCGAAGATGGGAATGCAGTCATCCAATTATCATTTACCAAAATGCGATCCAGCTTCTTAGCTATAGGGTCCGACTTTCTCTTGTTCCACCAAGTGTAGGAGTTTCCTCTAAAGTTAAGATCAAAGAGCTCAGCTTGTAATAAACACTGTCTAAATTCCCGAGTCCTCAAATTAACATTAGGAGAGGAAGAAGTAGAGTGCTCGGAAGGACAAAGCACTTGGTTAATCACCTGCAACAATCCAAGGCTTGCCAACAAGATTAGGACATGACGACAGATCAACAATTTCTCTCCACAACTCAATCCTGGCCTCAACAGAATTAGAAGCATATACCACTGAAAATATGAAGATCTGTTGCGAACCAGGCCAAGTGACCTCACAAGTCACCATCTGAAGAGAGGTAGATATAACCACCACCTTAACACTAGGGTGCCAAAGAACCCATATTTTACCTAAATCAGAATAACCATAATTATCCGTATACGACCAACCCGGGAAAATGTCGTTAATGAATTTCTTATCCTTCGGCTGTTGTACATGGGTTTCCAAAAGACCACCAAAAAGAGGATTATTAGTCTTCAACCACTTCTTGAATCCGCTTCTATGACTATATATGTTAATTCCGCGGACATTCCAGCAAAAAAGTTACTATACATAAATTAATGGGATTTGGGGCCCTTGCCCCGAGCACCTTTCTTTCCCTTACGCTGTGGCTTGGTAAGAGTCTGATTGGAATTCATGCCAGCCACAATTTCACCTTCTTCAACATCAGTGGCCCCAGAGTTTGACGACAAGACATCAGAGGAGTCCTCTTCAACAGCAGAGCAAGTATCAGTCCCTGAGGTTGAAAGGGTGGTCTGGATGGGAGAGTTCAGAATAGGAGTAGCAAACATACTCGTTTCACCAACTACCTGATCTTTAGAAGTACCCAACTTGGTAATAGCATTTACTACAAGTTCAACATTGGGTTTGTTGGAGAGATCCTCCTTATTTGATGTACTGATCTCAACCCAAGTCTTTCCTTTGCTTTTAGAACGACCCCTTCGTGTTTTCTTATGTTTTTCATCAGAAGGCTTCGAACTTGGGCAATGAGACGCAAGGTGAGACGGAGACTGGCAAATCGGACAAGCTTTGGGAGCTTTCAGGCAACGTTTCACAGTGTGGCCAATTTCCTTGCAGAAGTTGCAAACCGGGGGCATCCAAGGACTTGAGACAAGAACCCTACTGACCGCACCTGACTCAAACTGGACATTAACCGCTTCAGGCAAGGGCTTGCGCGGGTGAATAACAGTAAAAACTCTGGCTACTTCAAGGTTTGTCTTATTAGCGGTTGCTGGATGAAGGAGCTTCGGATCACCGACCATTCCAGCAATTTTAGTAAGGCATTCATCGTTGAAGAACTGAAACGGCACGTTACGCAACTCCAGCCAAATAGGCGCCGAAGACAGCTCGGGCTTGACCGGAATGACACCAGGTTCCCACTTTGCAACGAACATGGTCTGGCCTTCAATCTGCCAAAGCGTCTGATTTATCACACGATTTCTGGTGAAAGTATTGGGTATTCGGAATAAGAATGAGTTCCCTTCCATTTTAGAAACCGAGATGTCCCTGTAGTTCTTGCTCCAAATCCCATTGACAATGTTATGGATGATTCCCTGGGATGGCGGTTCAGAGTAGAAT